CCAAGAGGTCCTAAGTGGACTCTGAGGATGAGTTTGCTAGCATGATCACATCTCCCAAGCCAGCAGACTCCTGGATTACTGACAGGAAAAGAAAGGATTTCATTTCAAACCCCAGCAGTCAAGACAACAGCTATGAGCTCAGTATAGCCACAGTATGGCCACATTTCCAATTTAACAGCAAAGAAAAAGCTATTTTCTGTGAATGCCTAACAGGCAGAAAATACCTTTGGAAAACTTCACACAGTTCAGCATTGGTCATTTATTTGTTTGTCTTCCTGGAGACTGGAGAAGTTTAAAAGAATTCTACTTTCAAATAATAAAGCATATTAAAGTGTGCTTATTTTAAATGCAAAATGTCCACTAAATTACTCCAAACTTAAGAAAAAAAATCCACAAAAAATCCTTAGTGCATGGAGGGACAAGTTCTGAATTCCAAGAGAACAACATTTCAACAACATTTCAGGAGAAAATGTGGACAAAACTAGGGAGTTAACACTTGTAATCAATCTTCAAACCTCAGATTCTCCAGTTTCAAAGCCTGTATAATTGCTAGATGCAGAAATGCTGTAATGCTCATTTTATACTCTCACCTGCTCAGATGTAGGGTTCTGCATTAGTACTGCTCAGACTGGGGCATGGCTCCAAGGGACTGAGCAGCTTGAGCTAAATGCAGGCTGAAACCAATAAAAATCTGCAGGATAGCATCTCATCTAATGTGTTTTTAAGAAGTTGGATGAACTTGCTATTGGACTCAAAGGAATGTAATCTTTTCCAGATACAACCTGGAGTTTTTGGTTTTAAAGATCAAGGATCTTAAGGATCAAGGCTTCACAGAGGGACGGTCTTCAGAGGGACACTCTGAAATTATAAAATAAAGTTCTTCCCACTCATTTCTGGTGGCAAAGATTCAGTACCGATTGCTTCTAGGAAAGAAGGAAATTTTTGAAGAGGACAGAAAATAATCACGGTCACAACAGCGCACGGGGCTGCAATTCCAAGCACAACAGAGGAGCCAGCTGCACAGTGCTACGCTCTGACAGCTGCTACATTTCCGGAGAAAAGCAAGTTTCAGAGCACTGCCATGATGCAAAACTCCCCCAGTTATCTCCCTTTTAAAGACCAGTTGCTGGACTCATGTCATCCACGGTTGGGTTTGACTCGAGCTCTGTGCAGGTAGAAGCATAGAAAGTAAATACCAAACTGCAGCTAGCAAAAGCAGTAAATGGATCCCAAATGCCTTGTCGTGGCGCACAAGGCTCAGGCAATCACACACACTCACACCCCAAACCTTTATTATTCCTGTGCATGCTTGAGTGAGTGTCTCCTGCTAAGCAGGAGGGCATCTCTCATCACAACCTACCCAGGAACTGGAGCAAAAAGACCAACAAAATTCATGGCGGAATCTGAGAAGGCAGAGCTAACGCAACGCCTGTCTGCTCAGAAACACCGAGTATTTAGGTAAATTTGGTCTTTCCTAAAGGATGTGAGGAAGAAGGTTGTCTAAAGAGCTCTGATACCCCTGTATCAGGAGGCAACAGTTGGGAATTTTCACAGAAAAAAAAAAAGGGTTAGAGAAAGAGAGAGATTCCTCTTCATGCCCAGGCTGGAAAGTGTGAACTGATGTGCAGGAAGATGCTGCCTGTGTGCATGGTCACCACAGGCTCTGAGAGGGACTGTTCAGACACAGTTTAGTAAAGCTCTAGTGCTGTACAGGGTGGGGATTAGTGATAAAAGTCAAAAATCCTCTTAAGTGTTGCAAATGTTGTAATCCTGGATAAAATATGTAGCAAATACATCTCCTGGCTTGAGAGAAGACAAGCACTCCCCCGAGTGTGCACTTTCCAAGCAGGAGGAGGCTGCTTTGCCCGCTCGAGGAAGCAGCAGCAGAGACGCTGCCGCTCGGGAAGGGCAGTGCCCACCGGGGCCCTGGGCCACCAAAACCCCAGGAGCCACAAGCGATGCTGAGGCTGCAAGTCCCGTGGCACGGAGCAACGCGACGGCACCGGGGCAGAGGGCCCTGCTGGACAGGAACCCGGGACCGGAGCCTAGAGAAAGATCTGGAGCCAGATCAGTCCTTGGCCCTGCTCAGAGCCAGGAGATTTCCATGGTGTAAAAACCTGATTACATCCCAGGCTGACTGATTTGGAAATTGCCACCACGAGCTACGAGGATCCAAAGAAAGTCTCTACACGATTGCGAGACTTTTTCCAGTGAACTTACAGTGGCTGACACATCACTTGGCAACGCAAGTGGGGGGAAGTCTGCCCACAGTTATTTACTTCCCACATGCATCCACCCACATCCTTCAAAGCTTCCTTCGGAGCAGGTGGGAGCAGATGGTCACATCAACTTAGGACAAGGAAGGCCAGGCCTGGAAGCAAGCTGCTGAGGATGCACTGTGTCTCCCTTGAAGGGCTCATCCAGCTTGTTCTTCAAATCCGCACGACTGTCGATTCGACAGCTTCTCCACTATCAGAAAGTTTATTTTACTGTGCAGCTAAATTTTATTGGCTGTAAAGTCAAATTGTAATTTCTAGTCTCACTACTCCTTACAGACCTGAAAAGTGTCTTCCCCCTCAGTCTTCTTTAAAGCCTTTTTTTATGTCTTTCCTCACAAATGACATTATTTAGGCCTCTAACTGCACATTCTTCTCTGGAGTCTCTGCGGTTGTCAACATCCTTTATGAAGTGCAGAAGGCAAAAATGGAGACAACCATCAAGCTCATGCCAAGTAAAGCCAACTGGTTACAAACACCACTTTCTGTTAACACACACTATGATGTTTATTTTGTTTTTGCAAGTATCTAAGATTGTTTCCTGTTTAACTGATGTTTTTCAAATATTCCTCCTGTAGAGACTGTACAGCTAATTATTCCTACCTTAGTACTTAGTGAAGGACTTACTGCACAAATGGCCTGAAAAAGCACAGAGATCTAGATCAAATTTTAATCCTGCCCCTCAGCAGGCTTGCAGCCTCCTTGGCTGGATAGTTAGCTAAGCTTTTCTGCTAAACTAACTGACAAGTGCCTGCCTCCTACCCTACCCACCAGCATATAAGCCCCAGAGGGGGCTGCTAATCTCCACAAGCCTCTTAAACCAGCGGATTTAGGAACCCAGGCAGACTCTGAGGAACGAGGATGCACAGCAAGGAGCAGGGTGAGGCTCCAGAGCCTTCTGACCAGCAGATCCCTCATGCCTGCACTCGTCAGCGGGCAGGACTCTTCAACACTTGCCATGACTGCCAGTGGCAAGTTGGGGAGTCTCCTGAGCACTCTCCAGCCCAACAAATGCTTTCATGGGGAGCACAAGCAGTGCTTAGCATGAACATCTGCCTTTATAAACTCCCCTTATATCAAACATAAGACTTTCCAAAGTGTCTCCTGGTATCAGTGGGAACAGATGCCTCCTCCTTCCAAACTGCTCCAAGTGGTGCAAGCCCGGCAGCTGCTCCTTCCCTCCTGGCCTTGGTGAGTGAAGGAAGTCCCTCCCTCTCCTCAAAGGAGCAAGACACTATTTTTTTTTTTTTAATACTCTCACTGCTCTGCCTCTGAAGCAGTCAGTCCACGTTCTCATTTTCTTGCTCTGCCTAAATCCAGCTCTGTCTCTTGGCTGCCTTACAGAATCCCACCATGGCTGCGGGTTCACAGCTGGCTCTTTTCTTCCATCACATGGAGGTGGGAACCTTGAAGCAAGGTGATGGCATAAGCTGTAACTGCTACAACAGTGACAAGAAGCAGGAGAGACTAGGTGTAGATTTACCCAAATCATAAAATTCCACCCCATCTTCTCGCTGGAGAACCGGACTGTCTCACAGTGTCCTCCCAGAGGCAAGGAACAGCCTGGAAGCAGCTTGAACACAGCCAGTTCCTGCATTATCTGCAGGGGAACTTGCCAGCTTCTGAAAAGCTGCCTATTTTTAAACAAATCTTTGACCTCAGAATCACAAAAATCTAAATTATCATCTGTTTATGATACAGTTATTTTCCACTTTGCAAAATACCCTTCCCTCTCCCCCTTTTGCATTTCTTTAGCTGCAGCATAAGCACAGCTATAGATTCTGTACCTAAAAATAATCTAAAAAAAAAGCTGTGGTGATAGATAAATGGTATTAAAGGATTAAAAATAATTTCAGAATCAATTTATACAAGAAAGTACTTAAATATTAACTCTATGAAGAAGAGATCATCCAGAATGAGTGGTACAACTGCTTGGCCAGTGGGCAGGATACCCTGTCCCCAGGGATAATGTCAGGAGAAGGCAGCAGGAAGCATCAGAGGATGACACTGCCTTGGCCAAGGAAGGGTAGGCACTGCTTTCAAAAGGATAAGAAAGTAGCAAAGCACATTCACAGCCACCTATTTCATCTCCTTTCAGGTTTGTAGCTTCTTATTGACTAGCAAATAAAAGGACAAGAGTGATGGAAATGCCATAAATGACTGGTTACATGAGGGAGCCTAGTAATCAGTGAAGCTGAATGCCTGCTGTAAAGATGGATGAGGATATATCACTTCAGGTTAGTTTAATTGTATCTTGCAGCAAATACTTTCCAGAGTCTATTTTTCATTCATTTGTATCCAGATAAATTTAGAGCTATATTTAGTTTTGACAAAAGCTGTAACTTCTTTAAGCAACTGATAAACAGCAGCCAAAGGCTGCTGTCTGACTGTAACTCTCATGGACTTTGGTGGCTTTGGGATATTTGAGGGTTAACTAGTCCTGGTCTAAACAGCCAAAATCATTTGGAAGCAGAATGGTGGGTTGGAATTTGCTTCTATTTCAGCCCTGACTCTTACATAAACACTGAGTGGATCAGGAAAGCAGAGAAGCAACTCAGCTGAGCGTATCTGAAACGTTGCCCTTATCTTGAAGGCGACAAGAGGACTGAGCAGGCAGAGGTGCCAGGCAGGAGGAAGGTGCTGCTCTCCCACTGCAGGGACACACTGCGTGGGGCTTTGCTCCCATCTGGGGGCCTTCCCTTCTTACCAGCCCGAGAAGTTTTAAACGCAGCTTTTTGAGAGTTGCCCTTAATCACCGGTAGTAAATTGAAGCACTAGTTACATATCAAGGCAGGGAGAGAAGTCTCTGCGTTTCAAGACTGTTGTACACAGGCTCCACGACATGCTTACACTGGTATGCTTCTCACACTCCCAAACTTTGAGGACTTTGGGAGTATATTTTTTATGTAGGAGAAAGATAAATAGGTATTTTCTTAGGTTAAAAAAAAAAAAAAGGAAAACCTAAAGCCTCATTCAGTCTATTACCACATCAGGTCATACTGACACCACATGTCCCAGGGAAAGCTGGAGCCTCTGGCCCTTCCACTAGCTTTGCCTCTAATGCAGTTCGAGTGAGTGGTAACAGCAAAGGACCTAGCTGCTGGATGGAGCAGCCCAGAGAAGAGGGAAATGTACACCCTGACAATGAATGGTACAAGTTTATTCTAAAGCAGGGAAAAGCGGGACTTAGGGATTGCCAAGTTCAGCTTTACAACTGCTAGGGGAAGGTTTCCAGGAATTACAAGAGGTCCTTCCATGTCCCCTCTATTCCTCTGCATTCCAGCTGCCTCTGTGCTTTCCTGGCCATCTCCCACCCGCCATTTCTCAGCCTATCTTGCACTGCTTAACATTTGCAACATTTAAAGTTGTGCCACACACAACTTTTTTCTGTTTTTGACACACATCAAGAAAACTTCTCAGTAGATTTTAATAGACATAGACTGTCTAAGCCAACAGTAAACTCTAAGATGTTTTAAGCCATGTATAAAGCCACAGGTCAAATTCACACCCCGGTTTATTATACTCCCAGATTCACTGGAGTTATGATGAGGATGAACTTGGCTCTATGATTTTTGCTAGGGAAACAGTCACTCATACTCACAAATCATTTACCAAACAAAACGAAAACCATCCAGTAACGTGGGGAGCTCGCTGGCACAAGCAAACATCTGACACTGAAACAGATGAAACAGCAAGAGGCCAAGAGCAATAAAATGGTAAGAAAATGGAGCTACCTTGGGCTAATGCCAGGTAGACATTTACTGAGAGCCAAAATTAGTAAGTCTTACCACTTATAGTTACGTGATCATCTTTAGAGGCACTCTGAGGTTCTTCTAAATGGATCTCTGAGCTCACATCCACTTTTCTCCCAGACAGTTGTAAATGAGCTTTGAGAGAGGCAGGCACCTTGACTTTAATAGAACCTGGTACAAATTTAAGTGAGAGTTGATTAGCATCCAGATCAAAGCATTAAACAGGCAACAATTTAGCTAACTTGAAGCAAGTCTTCAAGAGTCTTCAGACACAGTGATCTTTCTTTCTGCTTCTGAAAGAATAAGCAAGGATAATTTCATTTATCATAAGCAGAATAACACTCATAACATGCATAAAATGGTGCCACAGTATTTCCTAGGGGACATGGAAATTAACACTGTTGTATATGGCGAGCGCAGCTCTCACTAGAGGAGCTCATTACAAGGATGATCCAGGGAACTTTGAGATAGGAAGAAAATACATCAGATGAAGAGTGTTTATGCTCCTGGACATATATATCTACATTCCTGAGCAAGGCAAAGGGACTGGACCAGCTACTGCATGGCATGTTGTATAAGTTGCATGTAAGTTCTGTTGAAACTTAAATATTCCGTATGCACGTTCTATTGGAATGATCGGATGCTACTTTTTGGTATTAGCAGCTGTCTGTGCTTTACTGCACAGCACTGGCTCTTCGCTGGATTGAAAAGATGCAAACTCAAAGGTGACAACTCTATCACTATCAAATGCCATCTACCAACAAAATCGCAACTTTGGTGCTCTGTATAACTCTACTTTTGAGATCAAAAATGGAAATTCTGACTTCTGCTTCTCCTGAATATGAATCCTTTACGCCACAGATTGAAGGCAACTGCTGGGCTCTGAATCTGCCAACATTAACTGTATTTGGAATTAGTCACTATGTTTGGAAGTTGTCTCGCACATTAAAACTAAAAATAGCAGAACTCAGAATATGCTTGTTGTATATAAGGTCTCCAGTTTGACTCACTTTAGAAAAACATTTAAAAGTTTATTTAAATATGCCCAATAAATCCAATCAGAGTATGAAGAGAAAACTGATACTAAAATGTTTAAGTAGCAGTCAGAAAGCAACCCCAGCCATGAAAATTAAATTCTGCAGAATCACTTGCTTGTAACAGCCCTGAAGAACAAGCAACTGCCAGTATCTCTGTCTAAATTTTGCTGGATGCACAAAAGCTTTAGCATAAGGAAGGGGAAAGGGCTTCATTTTTGGATAATCCTTGGAGAATAGTTCCATGATGTGACTCATAAAAAGCAACACACGTGTAGCTGATTTATCACAAATGGGACATTTTCTGCTCAGCAGTTGTCAGCACTTACTCTGAATTTACAGGGTAAATGGAAACAGAACTCCATCAACTTTGCCTTTACTAAACTCTGCTGCCAGAGCAGATGTCAGGCAATGTTTTGAAAATATAATTAATTATTTTTCATTAAAAACGTTCCATTTTACTAGTACTTACTACTATTTACTAGTAAAAGTATTTAAAAATATCTGTGGAACTATTTTATATATCCTTTTTCTCTCTACAGAGAGAAACATTGTATTGTAGGATTTATACATTTTCCAACAATGAGAATGTGAGAATGTAGATAACAAACAATCACTAAAAACACATTTTTTCCCAGACAGACAAGCAACTCACACCCTTTATTTCAGATCATAGCTTGCCATACACACCAAAAAAGCCCCATCTGTTCCAGTCTGCTAACCTTTCTGGGATTTCAGATCCACTTTTCTCAATTGACTGACATAGACATCTATTGACCCATGGTCTGTAGAAGCTTTTAGACTTCCATCAGAGGAATCTGAAAAAAAAAAAAAAAGAGAGAGAGAGAAAAAAAAAGTTAAAGGACTGTATCTCATTTCTTGTTTTAAATAAATACTTACTATAATTGTTCTTTATTCTTTTTCTTAGTTTCTGGATGTGCAGAGAAACACAGACAAACTCTCCAAGCTGGCTAAAACAACAAAATCAAACCTGACTGAATCTTGCCAGTTTTGCAAAGCGAAAGTACTCATCGGAGAATACACTAGATTAATCATGACCAGGATGTCTAGCATTTATTCCCTTAAAGCTTTCCATATAGTTTGTGTTAAACTGAACTGGAGCTTTTCTCATCCAAGATCTCAAGCACAGATGTGGAAGGTCAGAGTACGTAACACTAAAATCATGAAGGAAAAATGTGGGTTATTATCCCACAGCTCAAACTGATTCCTTAGGAGTACAGAGTAATGCCGAGGAGGAAAGCAGCCGGTCACTGCTCAGTCAGCGGATCGCATCTGTTGACTAGCAAGAGAATAATGATAAAATGTAGAACTGTGATGGGTTTTCCCATCTCAACAAATTCTGTGTTAAAACACTTCTGCTCCAAACCGGAATTAAAAGAAAAAAGAAATCTTCATTAATTGAAATGAAAGATCTGGAAAAAGAGCTTTGCTTGGCTAAGTCATAATGAAGATATTGTGTCCCTGCCTGAGCAGGGGGGTTAGACTAGATGAGCTCTAGAGGTCCCTTCCAACCTCAACCATTCTGGGATTTTGTGATATTGTATTGATAATTGTTATAAACATATCTTCAGTTAAGTTCCAAAATGACAGATTTTGAAGCCTGACAGATTGGCTTGCAACAGACACAGGAGATTTCCGGCCCCCAGCTTTTCTGTTCTAAACAAAACATGCTGTGAGCTCCTTTATCTGCACTATGACAAAACTGAGGCTCCCAAAAGGACAGCAACTCCTTCCAGGAAAAACAACTGCTAGGAGTCTACACAGGATAACCAGCTGATAGTACTTTACTGAGACCAAAGATTATTTAATGATTATTTCCTCATTTAATGATTCTTTACCACCAGCCTTCAAATCCGAAAGCAGCTCTCATGAGATTCTTCATCACAAAGAGCTGCCTCCTGCAGATGTAGCAGTGGTGCTACATGATTGCATAGGACTATCTTCTCTTTTTATTCTTTTTTTTTTCAACTATGTATATTAAGAAAAATCTAAATTTGTAAAGGAGGTTGGATTCTGTCTGCAGGAGGAGTAAACGGGATAAAGAAAGCAGGAGGCACAGATTTATCTGGAAAGTAAAAACACTTGAGCCATCTTTGCCACTGCTAAGCAAAAGTTCTTGTACTTGAGCCTGCCTGCTTTGGAAAGCTCTGTTCTGGGAGGGTGGCTTGCTCTCTACCTAGCTGCATTTGGACTCCCAACATACACCCCTTATCAGAAAGTTTGTTATGATGGAGGGGGAAAAAAATCACTATAGTAAAGTTTCAGAAACACTTGAGAATTTTGGCAGCATTAACCACACAGTATAGCTGACTTTACAATACATGTTTAGCTTTGATTTATGGAAGCAACATGAAATATACTTTACAGAAACAATTGGATATGATTTATGATTTCTGGAAACAATTTTATAGTTATGAGATTAAATGCAAATAAATAAGAATACTGAGAGACTTAAAGTTGGCTATCACTCTGCAAAGTCTACTAAAAATGCTGTTCTGGTTTCAAGTCTCTGCAACTCTTAAACAAATGAGACAAAAAAAATGCAGGAAAATGGAATAAAGAAACAGCCAATGCCCTAATGTTTTAACAAAAACATTAAATAACTATTTAAACAAGAAAAATTATTTTTGTATAAAATAACACAGACTGGAACACAGCTGAAATAATGGAGACAATATATGACAGCAAAAAAGGTATAAGGCCATTTATCTTTATATGTAAATATATAGCCAGCTTTAGCTGACACTGATGTGAACAACTGAGGATAAGAAACATGAAAAAGAAGTGGATACTTTAAATTCAGAATTTGATATGGACTGACAGCTCAAGAGGAGATGCAAGGATGAATCTTTCTAAAGAAAACAGAACAGATGGTCACTCTTGAGCAACTTTGGCTATGTAAGAATTTGCTAGTACAAGAAAAGGCAGTGAAGCAAAATGTCCTTAATAATGTTTTGTTAAGCTTTGTGGAGAATAACTTTCCCCAACAGGGACCAGTTTTGTTAGTCTTTTTAATTCCTAAGAGAGGAAGCCTGATTCTGGTCCCACATGGGCAAAGCTCTCCGTGCCAAAGAGCAAACTGGAGCACTTCCAAAAAGGACATTGACTCTCAATTAACAAAAGTAAAATAAAAAGTTGCACAAACTGATACATGAGTTAGAGCGCAGATATTACATTAACAGCAACATAAAGAAATGCCCAGATTTCTGTTTTCACAGTGGAATCTTAAAAGGTGCTCTACAGAAAGTCCTAAGCAACACCAAGAAAAATGACAAGCTCTGAAAGAATCTCTTCTGTTAAAACACCACCCTTCTTTTGAATTGCGAAGCTGAGAAGGAACCAGAGACATTTTTAAAATTCTTGATTTACAGTGGACTTACATTAATACAGCAAAGTCTAAAAAAAATGTATTGCTACTTGCTTAGAAATAATCTTATGGATCAAACAAGAACTACATACAAACATTGGCTACAGCCAATCTGCCCACTAGTCTTTCTGTTTAAAGGATAATTTGGAAAACAGGTAACTTGAGAAAGACTGTAGAGTGACAAAACTGAAAGCTCATTCACAGAACTAAACACTTAGTATCTACTTCCCTTCATTTTATAAAACCAAAAAGCATTAAAGAAAGAACACGAAAGATTTTGCCTTAACCCAAGAAAAACCATCTTTACTTTTCCCAATGGTATATAATAACTGCCTTTACTCATATTAAAAAAAATCAGTGAAAACCTTTCACTAAATTCTATGGAAAAATACAAGACCTTTATTATGATTTGTTTAAGGATAGGATAAAAATGTAAGATTCCATCATATATGAAGCATGAGAACGATTATTTTTTTACTTAACTGGCTATCTTACATTGGTTTTGAGAAAGATTCAGGGTATTTTGGGGTGGAAGAAGAATAGGGAAAACAGGATGGTGATGATAAAGCTAGGTAATAACTCAGTTGATATTAACATATCCCTAATAATGGATTCTCTCATTTTTAAAGAGAATCCTTTGCTTTTTTTTTTCCTCATATCCTTATACACGAGAGACCCTAGCCTGCCTGCAGAGCAAACATGCTTAATAAAAACACAGCATGAAAACCAGCATGCAAGCTTGGTAGGCTAGTATTGGCCACAGTACAGAAGAAAGCAGGAGAACAAGAGAAAAAAAATGTTTGTCAGTAGGAAAAAAACAAAGGAGAGACCAAGTTCTGTGATATGAGGTTGGAAGATGAAGAACTCTTAAAATATATATATATGCATATATATATATATATACTTACAGGAAACAGCATAGACTCTATCAGTAGAAGGAATTTCTACTATGAGCCAAGTTTTTGCACAGACCATATGTTTAAAAAAGTACCAAAGAACAATATTTTTAAGCAGGGACCATAATGTCCTTAATGGAATGTAGAATTGTGGTTTCTACTTCAAAAATTCCCTACATAACATATCCCAAGGTGAATGCTCAGGCAAGAGTACAGATGTACACAGATTGTGCACTGTTTTATTATTCAGTTGTGCAAAAATATTTTGAATGTTACATCTGTCTCATAATCAGTAATCATCCTCAAAGGTAAAATCTAGACCTCTATTTCTGTACTAGGGAACTGCTTCATTACCCTTCTCTCACATCACAAGGGAAAGGCCTTGACACCTCTGCCAGTCTCTGCGTCAAGGCTGTACTCAAATATTGAGTTGTTGTTATACAGGTTTTTGACAAAGTTGAAATTTTGTTATGTAGTTCTTGTTTTCAGCAATCTTAAAACAGTGAGTCAGTCACAGCAAGTCTCAAAAGCCTTTAGGTCTTCCACGGTGTTGGTCATCAAAGAAAGGTTAGAATAAAAGAAACAAACATAGATTTTTACACAATGTCATTTTTTTTCTTTGCTCCCAGTTTCTGTCGTTTTACTTTCCATCATGGTTCCCGCTGCCTCTAACCTGGACCCATTCCCCTCTCCAAAATGGGGAAACATGACATGAAACAAAACAACTACCACTAGTTTTCTTATTTTTGACAACACCAGCCCCTGTAAAGATCTGCTGGACACCAGCATCCAGCATTTCTGAACCCTAACAAGGCCAGTAGATGAAGGGAGGGGATTATTCCCCTCTGCTCAGCACCTGCCAGGCCACATGTAGCAGACAGTGGCCCAGGTTGGTGCTATACCTAGAAGACAGGGATCAGTGAACAGGAGTGACAGCAGTTGGCCCCAGCGGCGGTTGGGGATCGGAGCACTCGGCCTGTGAGGAAGGGCTGAGGGATGCGGGTTGCCCAGGCCGGAGCAGGGGCAGCAGCTCAGGGTACCTGCGAGGAGCAACGTGAGGAAAGCGCCGGCTCCTCGGGGTGGAGCAGGACAGGGCCACAGAGAGAGCAGCTGTAAGCGGAAACAAAAGAGGTTTGGATGGGTATAAGGAAAATCCTTCTGCCTGAAGATGGTCAAGAAGTGGAAGAGTTGGCCCTGAGAGGCTGTGCAGCCTCCAGCCTCAGGGGTTTTCAAACAGGGACGAGATAAAGTCCTGAGCAGCCTGGTCTGACCTCACAGTCAACACGGGTTTGGGCAGGAGGTGCCAGGCACTTCAAGCTGCAGTGTTTTGGATAGGGGTTCCAAAGAACAGAAATCCATTTACATGTAAAAATAATACAAAATACTCAGACAAACCAGATAAAACTTCTTTTTTTTAACTGACAAAACAGCTTTCTCTAAAGATAACTAAAAGAAAATACACAGAAAAAGGAGCACGGTGCTAATTTTATAATGCAAAATTATACAAGAACACAAAACTGTCCATGTATACAGTTGCTTGGGTTTTTTTCCCCCCCAGACTAATCCTCTTAAAAGCATCCAGCATCTTAATTATGAATTATTTAGACTTGTAAATAAATCTCTCAAAAGCTAAGGATACAGCTCAAGAATCTAAAGATGAGTAAGTTTTCCGGTTAATGAATAAAATGCATTGCTACCTCTATAAAACTGCAAGCTCGACTGGTTGGAACGAAGAATAACTTTCCTATTTCTGCCTTGAGAGCTCCTTTGAGAGGGAGAAGCTATAGCCCTGAACTCCCTCACACCTAGCAAAGTTCAGCAACAGTCTCCTGCTACAGACTTTCTACTTTCTTGATTTCATAGGGGATGTATGCAATTTCAGTGGGTCTGGGCAAGTAGATGAGCGAACGGAAACATGAACTCAATGTTACCTGCAAGCTTTAGACTTTCTTTGGAAATGCACATCACATTCTTCAGAATCTTCACCAAAGAAATAATTAAGCTTTTTCTTGCAGATGGAAATAAGCAGCCTAACCTCGGATTAGCCAAGACAGCAACACCTTTGTAGCCAAAGTGACAGCAGAAATTCAGAAAGCCTATGGTTGTAAAAAGGCTGAAGTAGTAAAGAAACACCTTTTGTTAACAGTTTTGGTAAGAGCTTGATGCTGACATTTGGGTTGAAAAAAAAAAAAAAAAGTACTGTGTGTCTATGAAAATCCAGGCCAGGAAGTTGGAAGATCTGCCTTTTTCTTCCTATTTCTGTCATGAGATTTATGTCACTATCTGGCAGTCCATCTACATTGTGCCCTATATTCTTCATACATGAAGGCTTCTACTTCTAAATCTTTTCAGATTTCTTTTTTTATTTATCTCAAGTTGTTAAGAGTTGATCTTAAAAGGCATTTTTGCTTTGAAAAAAAAAATCCTTAAGAAAAGATGAGGTTCTAGATGAGGTTTTACCCTCTCTGGTAAAAGGCTAGGTATAATTTCTCCTCTCAGAATTGAAAACTGAAAAATAAAACAATTCAATTATCAGGCTTACTAATATTTAAACAGAGCTTGATTAATTAAGGAAAATAATCACCATTTGTTAGTGGAAAGAATCATCACATCCTGTGTTAAAAAACATTATTTAATAATTCTCATATTCCACTAGTTTATTTAACAGAGGGAAAAACAGCAACAAGGCTGATTTAAGTTTGTGGTTTAATGACTAACCCTTAAGAATGTGTATTGCATTCATTTTCCAGGGCCATTAATATAGATTGTTTAGAAGTACAAAAAAGTTTTAATAGTACAGCTCATTCCTCAAAGATGGTTAGTATCAGGGTCATTATCATTAGCAGGACATTTTGAGATTTGGGTCAGTAAATATGTTTATTTACAGAAGTCCTTCAGGATTTCATTAGAGACACTTTGTAACTGCAATTTTCTATCAGAGAAATAACCAGAATTATAGTGTTGCACTTCTATATCAATGTACTATAAAAAAGTGCCCTCACATTTACCTTGCATAATATACTAGTTAATACACCTTACTGAATGTATAAAAGCTCAATTTATCCTTCCTCAAAACCTACCTTTGTTTCATTGTGATAAACAATGGTCAAAGCAGTATTTCTAAAATACTGCTTTAAAAGTTTTCCAGGAAGCTGTTTTTCTTCAAACACAATATGTAATTCACCAGTGACTACATGATACTACATGACACAAAAATAAAAGCTTGTCTTTGAAAAGTAACAAATAAAAAATATAGAGCAAGGTTAAGAGGCAAAATGATTACATCTGAGGCACACTTAATTTTCTTCTCATGTCCTTATGTCCTCTCAATCTTAATCTTTTTAAAAAGAGCAAAGGAAGGAGAGGGAGGAGTGGGAAAGTAGAATATTATCTTAGTGATAAGGCAGAACCCACCTACTGTGATACTCCCCGTCTTGGTCTGAAGACAAGAGAAAAAAGAGGCATTTTAATGTTAAAAGCAAGTTTAACTATTTTCTCAAATCATTACAAAAATTGAAGGAGTGCGATGCCATATACACATTAGTAGTATGGCTATACTGGTACATTTAACTTGCACTTAAAAGCAAAACAGCAGAAGTAAGTTACACTGCTTAAACATTGTTGTTTTATAGACAAACAAAAAAACAACATATGTAGATAAGTAACAATGATTTCAGATAAGAAAAGCACTGGGAAAAGCTTGAAGGCACAGGCTGCAAATGGAAGAGGGAAAAGCAAAGAGGCCCTTTGAGTTCACTGTTTTATTTTGGGACAGTTCCCCCCTCCACCAAGTTGCTCAGAAGACTACAACAGCACTATGGCTGTTTGGAGTACCTTAATAGGATGAGTAACAAAGTTATACAGCCAGCTAAATAAAATAGCAGCCATCAGAGACGGACGGAATGAGTCTGTGTGTCCAGACACATACATTTTTGTGGGCCTGGAGAGTCTGGAAAGGAAAAAAAAAATCCACTCCCCAAGTTCAAGATAGGGGATTTTCTACTTTAGCTTGAGGGGCTACTTCCTAGCCAACTGCCTAGAGAATCCATGAAAACTGGCTACTCCCTCCAAACTCCATCCCTCCAAGTGCGTGATGACTATCAATAGTTTTTATTGACTTCACAAGGATCCTCGGGTGTTAGGCTGCCTGAAGAATATCAGAAGGGGACAAAGCATAAAATGCAGAATGGTCTCTTGCTGAACCTGCCAGTGCCTGTTCAGAGTAATGCACAGTATTTCACCCTTAAATCTCACAATGAGAGCTCCTCTTCACCCTATGGCAGCACAAGAATCTGAAAGGATGAGATATCTCATAGGAAAAAAGCCATCTATGCTTGTTAACAATCTAAAAAAAAAAGTTATTTGAACGTTTAAAGTTCCACATTTATTGTAAATGTACAATTACATCACAAACAAAATGCTTTAAATGAAAGAACTAAACCACAACAGTTCATTCCTAACACTCCTTCATGTTCCCAGAAGGATAACAGACAAACACAAAATTTATCACAGTAATTTTATCCAATTTTGATTTAATAATACATGATATTTATGAAAATTTTCAGATCCTTTGGCAGACGCCTCTAAAATTTGCAAGCGGATCAAGTTCTGCTCCCAACATCCCTCTGCAGCTACGCAGCAGTAAACAGACATGAGGGTCGAGCACATTCCAGCAACGTGGCTTGCACTGGTGTTCTTAGTGGTCCATGCACTGGAAGCTAGAAAAGCAGCCTGTTATCACCAGTCTTACATTTACTATTCCAAGCACAGCCTGCACAAAGTATTTGGTGGTTCTGCGTGCCAGAGTTGAAACGAAACCATTTTGCAACGGACTTGGAAAAGGTTTGGTTTTCCTGTATGCTTTCCCTTCCCCTCCGAGAGATACATAATTATCCAACATTTTTTTTTCCTCCCTCTTTCCATAACTAGTACTTATTTCTGTACAATAAACAACAAAAAATCCTTGTCTTTTGTAAACTAGCAAGTCCCTTGGAGCTCAAGCTACATTACACAGGGTCTGACCAGAGCCCCTGGAACTTGTAGATTTGCTGTCTGTTCTTCATTTTTCTCATTTTTTTGCTCTCTGTTTTGTTAATCAGATCCCTGAAGAACATTAAACATTTAGAGATCAAACTCCTATTAATCACCAACTTATACAGCAGATATGACTAAGAATGCACACACTCACACATTATGGTGACAGCTACAGGCCAAACATTTAGCTAGAAGAGAAGCAGGTAGGAATTTCCTGCCGTGTTGCAACCTGCAATGTCTACAGGCTATGCATAAAAACCTGCTTTGGTCATGTAGCTGTCCCATGTAGGTCTTCACTTATAATTCTGAAGCTGAACAACTCTCTGGTTTCAGATACATCAGGGCAAAGAGTGAAAGAGAGGAAAGGCTGGAGGAGGGCATCAAGATGATGAGGGGGCCGGAGCGCAGGACACAAGATTGGCTTGAAGAGCTGGGCTTTTTTTTGCCTTAGAAAGAGCAGGCTCCAGAGCAATCTCGTTGCGGTCTTTGGCTTCCTAATGCAAGGGTACAGAGAAGAAAGTCGGCTTCTTACTGGGGAAACACAGCAAAACGAAGGGATAGTGATTACAAATTGCCACAGTGGAAATTATGACTCAGTTTCTCAGCACAAGGGTAATTTCAGGCTGGAACAAGTTGCCCAGAAAGTTTGTGGAATCTCTGTCCTTGGGGATAATCCAAAGCTCAACTAGACAAGGCCGAGAGCAAGCTGCTCTAGCTGACCCTGCTTGAAGCTTGGCCTAGATGTCAAGAAGTCCCTTCCAACCCAGATTATTCTGCAATTCTAAGAAAAGCAACTCAGCCCAAGGCTTTGGCATAGCTGCAAAGGAAGATGAGTTTAAATCCCTGTTTATTTCTCCTAAGGTCCAGAGCTGGGCTAGGTTTCACTAATGTTGGTTTCACTAATGTTCTTGCCCTTAGATACAACAGCATATTTCTCAGCCTCAAAGCTGCTGCCTGCTTGTTTTTCAAGCATTAACTAGAAAGCCCAATGGCATCTAATACCTGCAATGCCTGCTCATTAAAACGACTCAAAACCATTATCTTCAAAATAATGCATTAATCTTTTATCCTAAATATGAAGATTGCAAAAGAGCAATTCAGAAGGCCTACATACAGTGTATTATCTTATCTCTACCTTAATTTCTCCTTGCAATACTGGAGTGAACAGTGAACTGGAGTTCCAGTTGAACCTCTTCAGTTGTGGATTGGACTACAGGGGAAAAAAAAGTCCTATGCACTCACTCACATTTCCATCTCCCATTCTCAGAGTATTTTTTAAAATATTTTAATGACCTCTGATCTGAAATTTAACCGGGAACAGCACTGGGGACTTGGGATTTGTTTGAAAAGCTGGTTATCACTATTTCATGCAGTGTAAGGATTATACCTTTTCAGAGATAAGATGTTCAGGAAAAATATCTTTAAATTCCTCAATTACTAGTGAAGAACAAACAGTTTACACAGGGGAAGAAGGAATTTTGAAGGAAATTTGTCAGACATTAAAAAATTAAAATCAATTTAAAAGTTAAATGTTCAAAATAGTACTTTTAATTATGTTAGCAGCAATATAGGTATTTTATAAGAAACCACAAGAGAAATTTTCATTCTGTAGCAGGAACACCAACTTCAGCATCATGCACCACGCAGTGCACACAAAATGCACTCATTTCCTTTGAGAGGCTTAGGCAGCCTTTCATCCATAGCTTGTTTGTACTATGATAAAGGGATTTGGTTTTGTTTGTAAGTGAGAGCAGAGAGCTAAAAAAGGAAATAAACTTCCATCAATATACTCATATCTCCAGAATCTGAGATATAAACAGCAAAAGTATTGAAGATATCACTGCTATGAGATTGCCTGAGGACTACAATACAGAGTTACTACAGTGTTTCTGCCCAGAGTCAGCTTTAGTCTTTCAGGTCTTAATATAATTTGGTTCAGGATAAAATTGAAGTATTTCACAAGGCAAAGACTACAAATGAGAGTGACCAATTTAATTTTTCTAACTAATTTTAACTAATTCAATATACATCTTATAACAATATTTGGTCTTAGTACTGAAAGCCAGAGGAGCATAACGTTTTGCAGGAAATATTCTTCTGAAAGAACAGACTGGAAATACCAAGTAAATCTTGATGTACAAATTCTATTAAAAGGAGCGCATAAAACAACATTAGGTCTTCCAGACCCATTTAATAAAGAGCTCATGAAAATAACCCTGCAGTCATGTCAGAAATGTCTGTATAATTTGGATACAGTTCTATTTGTTTTCACATTGTTCTTTAGTGAAATTATAACAAGGCATTACTAAGAAGTAAGTCACTAGCTACAGCTGTTATTATTTCATTTTTGTGCTAAGATAACAAAAATAATCTTTTGGATGCATGTAGAGGCATGAGCACACTCACACTGACCATTCCACAGATTGTATCTGCTGGAAGGTTGAAAAGTCAGCTTATTTCCTAGTAGCAATGCAGTCTACATGTTAGAAAAACAAAAAACCCCAAACCCTTAGTTCTGCCTTCATTTTCATGCTGAAATGAACTGTAGCTAGCAAGGTTAGAAACCAGCTTGCAGCTCATTCTACATCAACAATGGAATTGGTCCCTTAAAGAAGAAAGGAGAATCATTTCTGAAGCAAGATAAGAACACAAAATTTCCGCAAATTACTTACAGGACACAAAGCTAAAAGCCCCCAGGCTTTTACTCATACTTGTTCCACACCGCCTCGTCATACACGGTTCAGTTTTACTTAAAAGAAAAATCACTAAACACACTGCAGCATAGACGTGGTTCTGTAGCAATTTTGCTAAATTACAACTACACGACAAGTTCCAACCCTGACTTATTTATATGAAAGACACCAAGCTAGCTGAGTTTAGTTCTAGATGAAGAGCAGTAAGGGGTAGAAGGATTAAAGAACATTTCTTTCATCATAAAGAATAGAAACCGTCGCCACTCTACTAGCACAAAGTCCCAGCACAAACACAGTCCATTCCTGAGAAACACTTCCAGATATGAACAAGCTTTACCACAAACCTTACTAGGAGCTGGATGACTTAACTTTGGTGATAAGGAAAGCCTGGGAAGAAAAAGCAGGGGGTGGAAGAAGCATCCTTACACCTCCTCCTCCCCATTTCTTTTTAATACAGCTTTTAGTGCTTAATTACAATACTTTAATACACCACCTTAGCATGCATGGCTTGTTTCCTCTCTCTAAAGATGCTTTTTACTTCACAAGGAGCACATTCCTAAAATTGTTTTAGAAATAAGCACAGTATGCTCTATTGTAAGCTAAACCTCATCAGTGCAGACTCATTTCGCTCTCATACTACACACGATTTAGTGATATCCTTACCCTGATAGTCCTTTTGTTATTATGAACATTACAGATACCATCAGGACAGCTATGTTTCTGACAATATTTCCTTACCATGAATACTTCCCAGTAGAATATCACCAGTTTCTGAAGACAGAGATGAAGATTCTGCATAGAGATACTTAGTTTTCAGCAATCCATCTTCAGTGGATATGTTGATGGAAGCCCCCTGCAGCTTCTCTATACTCACGCTCTAAGAGAAATAAACTTAAATAAACATAATGGAAAACTTGTCATCCCACTTTGAAAAGGCTTAAAGTAGTAACACTACTAAGGACAGAACAAATGGAAAGCAGGCTTCAGCGCAGAACAAATGGAATGGAGTTCTTGGTTAAAAACGGCACAAGACAAAACACTCCACATCTTCATGCAGCTCTAAGCAACAATTTAATTAAACTTTACAATATTCCTGTGAATTACTAGCTCTATCAATACATGCAAAGGACTCAAAAAATCAAAAACAGATCCCTAAAAGAATAACTTGACTATTTTAAAAAGAATACAAACAATGCATTTTGAAAAGATTTTTAAAAAATCACAGCTTTAATAACTAAGACCTAATGCTCGTATGTAATTATGACACTTAATAGCTTTGGTAATCAGCTTACTGTGATGACATAGCAAAAAACACAGATTTCTTGTACCATGCAGCTATTTAGGCAAACTTTTCACTTGCTCATTTTGTGAATATAACTTCTTACAACAATTTAAAAAAAGAAAAAAAAAAGCCTTGAAAAATGAGCAAGTATTTGCATTTCTACTTTTTTCCTTCAATAAAAATGTGGAGAAAAGAAAAGATTTGGAAAATTGTGCTATTGATGGACTTGAGGAATAAAAGGTGGTAGCTACGATAACGTTCTACATACAAATTAAAAGCCTTGCAATTAACTTGAGACTATATGAAGAAAGCACATGCCATTCTCATGCAAATGTCATAAGAATTTAATATTATCCTTCTCAAGTTAAAATTGATTTATAATGGAGCAAGCATATAGTTCATGCTTAAGCCCCATTTAACAGGTTTTTAATTTGCTTGCAACTGACTCTTCAGTGAATCATTACTCACCATATAGTGATTCACAGCCTTCTAGCTCAAACTATCTTATGTCAATGTATCTTGAAACCCATTTTAACATCATTATATTGGGAAAAAAGTTAATACACAAAAATACCTGTTGTTCTTTCCAGTGTTATGTTCCCCTGCAACTACTAAAAAATATGCAATGCCCTGGACATCCATCTCACCATAGTACAAAGCCAAGACAACAAATAAAGGCCACTGTCATTTTAAGCTCTACCATCTCAACCTATTTTGTAGTGGAAACTGCCTGCCTATGAGCTTTCCTCAACAAGGAAAGAAAAGCCCTAAAAGCTTAATTTGTTACCAGGGTATGCAAGCTCTGATCTTATTTAGGGATTTACCTTATGTATATATGGAGTTACTTTATTGAAAAAATACACTCACTTGCCAATTCCCCTTGCATACCAACCTCAAACACCTTTCTTGTAAGTGTACAGCAATAAGCAAATCATTTTAATATGTAATAAATAAGTACCAAGGCAGTCAAGTTGACATAAAAAATGATTCAGAACAACCAAAACCCGTCAGGGAAGGAGGAAGGAAAGGGAGGAAAATCAGACTGTTCAAGTCCAGAACTAAAGCATTCTAGATCGTGTGACTTCTCACTGAGACTAAATATATTTTCAATTCCAAGTTATTTAGCTTCTATGAATTTTTGGCAGAATGCATTTGGCTTAGTTAACTAAGCGCTCTACAAAAGCCCCTGTGGCAGAAGTTAGCTAATAACTCCCCAGTTTAACAAATTGGATGATTTTGTCTGTTCACCACAAGGTTTTCTGGGAAAACTGCCTCCCTTGAGGGCAGAATCATAGGAGCTGCAGTTAGCAAGATCACTATATGCTCAGGTTCTGGCAGTTTTTCCTTACCCTGGTTAAAGGTAAAAAAAATAAACACCAAAAAGATCAGTTTGTCATAAATCAGACTGAAATGGTTTTTGCACCTGAACCTATTTTCAAGATGGAAACTAACATCTTGCTGTGTTTAAGTAAAACAATTCCTTCCTCACATGCTCTTCTCCTTTATGCTCAAATATTTGATGAGTACAGTCACTGTTTTTCCCTCCCTTTCAAATATTTTCCCATTTCTGAAGTGTTTAGTGTCTTCCACCACATCCTCACCCCATGCAGGAGGGAACTGAAGAAGCCCACACCAGGAGTGTCACACCAGGAGGGGTTTGTAACAGAAACGTTGACAGGGCTGTAACTACACAGTGATGACAAGTGATGGAAAAACATCTCATACACTTGGGACGTGCAAGACAGACTGATTACTAACAGAAATGGTCAACTGAGAAAATAAATCTCACTCTCCTTTCTATATAGCAAGGATTATTAATGAGAATTTCAACATCAAGCCAAAGCTCTGTTTTGTATTTGTACATAAAGAAGGCTGTAAACTACCTCCACCCCTTTTGTCCTTTGCTGCAGGAAGCAGCCAGCATTCCTGGCTGCTCGTGGCTCGGAATCAATCCTAACTCTATTAACCAGTAACAGGAACCAAAGAACTGCTGATCAATCAGCACCGATCAGTCAGAACTGTGGCATCAATCAGATTTTAACTGCTCAGCTGCCCAGCTATGCGGGGATGAAAAATGTTCTTTTGAAAGGAACGTGTGTGTGTGTACTGACATAAACACAAAAGAATAGTTCAGTTACAGCAGCCTCAGGGCTCCTTTGTACATAAAAAGGATGGTTAGCATCCCCTACAAAGAAATGCAGGCAATTTAACGTTGATAATTCTTCATAAATCCAATGGCAGATACGTTCATGCTGTAAACTAGGTAAAGCTGCTTATAAATGATTGTGTGATCACAGAATCTGATTTACAAACTGCACAAGAGCACCAAAATGGAACATTATATAGGTTTGTACTCTTGGATTTATAGCTGGAGTTTGATTCTTCTCAGAGAGGACGGAATCCTCCCAAATCTTGTAATTTTTTCTGATTCTTCCCAAGAATCAGTTCTGACAGAGCGCTGCATGTGTACAAGCAACTTCCTGCCTTGCCTTCACTCAGCACACTCAGATAGCAAGCCTCCTGCTCTAATAAATCAAATTAACCAGACTGGGCCTGAAAGTTGTAGCATTATGGAGGGCCTATTTCTACATTATTCCAAATAATGGAGAAATTACTGGATTTTTTTGTCCTACCGTAAAAGGAAAAAAGCACAGCAGTATGAGGTTTATCTCACACTGCCCTCTACAGAAAAAAGCACGCTACTCCCTTCTGGAATTGTTTTTCTGTTCATGGTACTTCTTACTGAATCGCTCACACCTCAGACTAGATTTTTTCTCAGCTGCAAAGAAATACACAGAGTGGCAGTCTCCAGCTTCTGACCGCAAAATGCTGGAAGGGTAACACACATGTGAGCATCAAGCCACTGGCAGGAGGCACCAACTCAGGTGTCCCTGCAGAGTTGAAGTGCATAAATATCAGCCAAGTTCAAGTCCCTTTTGAGGGTCTACATAATAAGGCTGATAAGTTGCATCTTCCTATGACAGATTAGTAGATGCAATGTTGCAAGTTTTATTTTTACTGAATAATATCCATTAGTGTGCAAAATTGAGTGGTTCATATATTTTTGCACAAGAACAAAATTTTTATATGAATTTTACTCCTTTATTTAAAAAAAAAAAAAAAAAGCTTAAGTTACATGCTACTAGCTGTATATTGACAGAATGCTCAGGTACTTTTTGTTACATTTTTGTGAATCCTCTGTTTACTCCTCCAAACCAAGCATAACATAAGACTGCATAAACAGATAACTATATGGCTATAATGACAATTAATGGGCAATTAATCAACAAATTTTGAAGAACATTTCCATTCCAAAGGATGTTTATTAATTTGCAACATACAAGCTGAACTAGTGACGTCAACTGGAAAAGAAAAAAAAGCTTCACTTTTTACTTACACCCTTCTCTGTAGCATGAATATCTGTATTTCCATAGAGTGTTCCAAGACCAATTACTTTGCCTCCATTTGTCCGTATGTTGATTTTATGACTCTGAAAGAAGAGTTTACAATTCATAGTTAAGGTAAGGAAGGCAAGAAAGAATAACGCTGGGGAATCTTTTACCATCAATACAATTCTCTGAGAAAAACAGCTATCCTGTATACACTGAAATAAGCACCATAGAGAAAAGTATATCTTTGGATTTTATTTATACCAGAAGCAAAGGCAAGCATATGCCCAGTGCTGCAGTGTAGATTAAAGACAGGGGCTAACAGTGAGAAAGCAACTTGCATACTAGAATCAGTATAGTTAGCGCCACAGAATTCCCCTTATGATTTTATATAGAATTAGCACAACTTACATTTATATATCTTATACATCACCATACATTTCTATGGCTACACCCCAGTACATCACATTCCAATTAGGTACTTTAGAGAGCGCAGCTGCATTGTGATCAATTTTTTCACAAGGAAACTGGTTTTAAATCTATAGCACTATAACCCCTTTACACCTTTTGGCTGCTGCGTACAACCGACAAGAAAAGCAAGTCAAAGAGATATTCCAAAAAGGGGAAAGAAAGGTAACAGTTATAATTAAGCAAGCAAAAATATACCAGAAACCATAAAACTACTTAAGAGAAACCACTCTCAAAAAGACAAGGTCTTGAGACTGAAAACCAAACACAGGAGGGGAAGGTGGTATGGGGAAAAAAAAGAGAGATCAATTTTGAATAATTTAACTATACATTCATAAACTGTAACTTCAGTAACAAATCTGATTTTAAGAAGTTTAGGGATTTCAACAGCAAAGTTCTTTGCTTCTATTTCTACATTATTTAATATAAGCCCTATCTTTAAAGATTACAAGCAGACCTGAAATTTTCAAGATATTTAATGACTAAATGCCTACCTGGATAAGACACAATAAATTGCATTAACTCTTTCTTAGATAGCAAGAAATTTAAAATCAAAAAGAAAATCATAAAAAAACAAAAACCCATAACCAACCAAAAAGCTTAAATAATGTAAAATCAAATTTCCAATGTGGAAAGTATTTATCTGTAGCACTTCCATGTATTTCTGATAAACACCAAGAACTGGAAGTTTTGCATGGCTTCATAACATCAGACAGACTTTGGATCAGTGTTGCCCAATCTCTGAGTAACAAATTTTGCTTCCTCTTCTTGATGTGATAAGTTTCTCCAAAATAAAATGAAACTTGAGATTTCTGCAGTGTTCCAGATCCACATATAGAAGCTTCAGCTAGGTATAGCTGGCTCCTTTCAGACTGTTGCATGTTAGACACACCACCCTCATGGTTAAAGAGTAAATCACACAATCATAGTAATTTGAAGAAAATATGGAGGTTCATGTTATATTAATTCTTTTGATTCATAACAATGGCTTAACTAATTTGACCTTTTAGAGTTAATTAAGTATAAAACCAACTGTTATACACTTCATTTGTTTGCTTGGACCTCTTTTGCTCTTACCTTATCATATTTATGACAGAAAATTTTCTATGAGAACACACAGGCCCCTTAACTTTTTCCCCCGAATTCTTACTACCACACTGGCATCCTCTCCAAACCAGACTTTCAGAGGTAGGTATCAACACAGACACCTCACCAAAAGCCACATTTGCTGGAACACGGAGCAAGCTGCAAAGGCCAAACACACTTCCCAGAACATTCCACTAGCTCAAAGAAAAATACACTGATTTGTCATAGGACTTCTCTTAGCAAGTGAGTAGGGTTTGTGTGAGGAACAGGCTATGAAGCCCGTGATAGATATTAAGAAAAAGACTGAAAAGACAGATGGTCACACATGGTCTGTGGTAAGGAAACACTGAAGGTCTTGCAGTGCCCGCATGCAAGACACTTGGGAACGTTAGCTAGCACTGGCACAATCAGGAGTTCGAAGCAACCACTGGACATAGTGGCAAACAAAATTAAAGGATTTCATTGGTCCCACTGTGCCTGTTGAGCTGACGGAACGTAATACAAAGCAGGAGAAACAAAACCAAGAAAAGAGGGAGCGCTGCTACACTAAAGAAGACCTAGAACTCAGAACTGTGTTGTGGAATTACCAGTTGATTTAGAGACTGAGTAGGATGAACTGAACGTTAGTCAAGCAGGTTTAAAAAAACAAAAACAACCTCTCCACAAATCTTACTGGCCATATAATGCCTAGCATACCAAGAACACCAAGGAAAATGCACTTAAAAATATAACAGATTCTAATATTCTCTGTTCAAGGGTTATCATGCTGAATAAGGAATACATATATCAAACTTCTGGTGGGTTCTCTGTAAAGGCACCAAGTATCACACCAAAACTCAGCAGGTTTTCAAATTCAAACTTAAACAACCTGTGGCAGGTTCAGAGAATCAGCAGCTGTGACGCTACTCACAGGGTGCCTTTAAATAACCCCCCTCATGAACAGATTTTGTGGGTGCTGGAGTTTGCTGATGCTGTCCGATTTGAAAGTCACAGATCAATAATTTTTTGCTCTCTGCTTTACAGAAATGCTCCTATCTTCTGGTTAATGAGGTTTGTGAATGGTGTAACAGTGAAGCAACATCAAACACCTCTTCAACCCATCCAGGAGAGGGCAATATCTCTTCAGTTTGCTCAGGGAAACACTATCCCTGAGGGAAGATCAGCACTTGTGCTGCGCTGCAGAATCAGTGTCAGAAAATTGAGTTACAGTTACCTTATTAGAAATGCATTAGTTCTTAAAAACAAGATTAAACTAAGAACTGTACAGCTAAATGTGATGCTGTAATTGCCTAATGTATATTCCAAACTGATAAAAGTTTTGAATGGCGTGACTTATAAAAGTTTTCAATAACTTAAATTTGAATTAATATAAGTATAAACTTATAAAAGTTCATAAAACTTTTATAAGATGAAAATTCACCATCAAGCTTTTCTCAAGGAAAAGAGAACTGACGTGACTTAATTAGTTACCTTTCCTCAGAATCCTTTTGTCCCATAAAGTTATGAACAAACTAGACAACTGTCATGGCACTCAAGAGTTACTGCCAAAAATGGTGGCCAATACTAGTTTTTCCTTCCCCTGTTATGCAGTTTGTGTTTACTATTATTTTGTGAGCCAGAGCCCTGGTACAGGCTGCCCAGAGAGGCTGTGGAGCCTCCTTCTCTGGAGATCTTCCAAACCCGCCTGGATGCCCCTCTGTGCCATGTGCTCTGGGTGTCCCTGCTGGAGCCTGGCCTTGGACTAGATGATCTCTAGAGGTCCCTTCCGACCTCAACCATTATGGGATTCTGTGATTATTATTATTAATACATCTCACATAACAGAGTCCTTATCTTTAACCAAAGCTTTAAAACAACAGTAGCATATATAGTGCTTTTAACTTTCTGATGGATTTTAGTTACCTTTTCTAGGATTAATATAGTCAATAACACACAATTTGGAACACAGAGATGGCCTGTGGTTCATTTATCATTATCAAGTATGGAGTAGAGCTAGCTCTACTGCATACTAAATTTCTCCTTAAATTCAATTTCCCTGGTGTGATCTATAAAATCATCTTTCTTATACTGTTTTAAGAGAAAAATGCTGAAAGATTTTCAACTTTCAATAGCACTTAAACATTAGAATTGCTATATCTTAAATACCTTTCCTCTGAATTTATATTATTATTTTATTATATTATTATTATTCCTGCAGGTGCAATTCCAATTAATCAAACAAAATTGATTCCAACCAGTACCTAGGTTGGATGCATTTTGATTATTTCTACAAAAATCTACATCAAGAAACCTGAAGTCTTAACACTGAGGAAGCAAGATCATGATGATGTCACATATATTATTTATCAGAAATATTTTTAGATTGGTATTTCAGACATATAATCCATACCTCAACTGAAAACTAAACCAAGGAATTTGTCAGAACTACTGATACTGGATAAAAAAAATAAAATCCCCCTCCCCCAGAAGATGAATGCTGCTAAGCATTTCAAAGCCTTGATCTAGTGGGTCTAATCTCATTCTGAATACACAGCATTTAACTCTCATTAAAGCCAGCTGGCATCCTGCCACTACTACTAAGTTCTGCTGACTTGCTTCAGTTATCATCAGTGGTTCCTGGACTTCTGACCCCAAGCTATTTATGATTATCAACTTCTGTCATTATTGTACAAAATAAATAAAGGTGAGGTGCTGAGCCCACATGGACACTTCAAACTACTTCCCATCTTCAGAACTATTTTCTTTATACTACATTTCATCATATAGTCACTTTTAAAACATGGGGGAAGGTTGTTTGTACCTTTATTGACTGTAAGACACTAGTCCCCTTCTCAGTTTCAATACTGCAGTTATCACATTCTATTTTCTGAATCTTCACGCAACCAGTCCCTGATGTTTTGATATCCAAATCTGGAATCAAAAGAATTATTAGTAACAGAAGGACAAAAGACAACAGTTCTATTTAATGTAGCACCCAATTGCAATATACAGGAACTGCACAGGGAGGGGGTGTGTGTGGGTGTTGGCAGGGAGCAGTTTCCCTGTTTCAAAATAAGCTTCTTGCAAAGTTTGGTTACACACTTTCAAGTGTACGATCACTACTGACAGCTGATGGTGAAAACTATGTAAAACTGTACACAACCATCCTTCTTAACTAAGGCGGCAGCAGAACAAGTGTAACCTCTGGCAAGTACTTGGCACAGTGCGGCCCCTCAGGGATTTATTTTAGACCCACTGAGATCATGCCTTGAATTTCAGCATATTTTATCTTCTACCATCCAAGGACTCCCAAACTCTGCCTGCATCTCACAGTCACCCTCATCACTAATTATTCAAACAATACATTTGGCTACACTCAAGTGTGTTTGGGGTTTTTATTTATTGTTTGTTGTTGTAGCTTTTTCTGTTTTCTTTTTTGGGTGGTGGGTGGGTGAGCAGATATTGGGATATTGGTGTGGCAGTTTTAAGAGGGTTCAGGAAAACAAACCTAACTTTGCAGAAGCTGCAATTTGTCATGTTCGGACCTATCATGCTTCAATTAGCAAAGAGTAAAACAGAAATGAATATAGAAGAGCTTGCACTTGTCATTCTTCTTTTAGTAAGTCTGACTTACCCTCCTGGCATGAAGGAGCACGAATTATTGGTTTTCTCATCTGAATCACCTCATTACTGCTCATAGACTCCCATAAAGGAAAGTCATCAGGTGTGATAATGTGGTTATCAAGGGAATAAATTATGGGCTTGCAGCACTCCATACAGAGGAGCAAAAGCATTTTTTTCTGCCACTTAAACTCTGCAGTGAGCTAGGGGAAGTGAAGTTTGGGAACGTGCAGCCTGGCCGGTCTGTGCTAGCAAATAATTATATTAATGACCAGAGTAAAAATCGAGAAGAGTTAAAGCCAGAGGCAAACCGTAACCTGTTCTTTTACAGAAAGAGAATTGGAATAGGAGTCAGAAATGTGTGCAGAGAAACTAGTAACTGAAGGACTAACAGAAGCAGGTAGTGAGACCACTTATAGTCTAAAGACCGCAGAGGAGAATATATGGGATGGGGGGAATCCCTCAGCTCAGTCAAAGCATTCCTTTCATTTCCAAGATTTTCCAAAGGGACCAGCAATATTAGAAGAGTTAGAGAAAACATAATTAGAGTGAGATGATCAACAAACTGAAAAGTTGCTGCTCAAAATAGATGCTGAGAACTATAAATATCCATGAAGGGAAGTTTTTCCAACTGACAAACCAGGAGAATTGAGTACCCCAGCAGGCAAAGAGAAAAAATGCCTCATCTTTGCTGTAAGAGGAGTATATTATTGCCAGTGAGCCAGGAGGTTAGGTTTACTGCAGGATGCACATAGCATGGTGACAGGTAACAGAGGAGACTGGAAGAGGACAGGATCAGCAGGTCTTGCAGAAAGCCTTTTTGCTTGCAGACATTTTCCTCAGCCTTCTCACAGAAGAGCAGCCAGCTGCACAGACTCCCAAGACAGAGATACTGTGAACAAGATTTTGCTCAAACTTTTCCTAAATTTCAACAGACCCCAAAAAGAGCTTTGAGACATGTCAAAGAGTGCAAAACCTGACCAACTGCATGCATGACAACCATCACAAACAAGGGCTTGAGGGCCTACACAATCATGTTAATATTGGAGAAACCCAGATGGTTTCCCCAAACTAAAAAATACACATCAGTGGTATTTCTACTAATTCAATTTGATCGATGCTGATCTACAGGTTCTGAAGAAGACAAACAAAACATAAGACTTCACTTTCTGGGGAGTTGTTTAGATCCAGTCCCAAGAGAGGTCTGCACAGGGGCACGTCCTAGCATCTGAGTTTGAAATGATGCATCCTTGCACAGCACAAACCTTGGGAGTTCTCAAAGAAAACAAGATTATTTTTGTAATCCAAGCTGTCTTGCTCAAAAACGGCATTCTTGGACTGGAAACACTTTGCAGGGTTGGTTTGCTTTGCTAGCCTTGCTATAGGAAACACTAGAGGACAAGGAATGCAGTCCCACTGTTTCATGAGGAGGCTTCCTAAAGCAGGATAAGTGAGCCTACATGGAAGCCATACAAGAGCTGGCTAGTACTGCTAGAGAAACTCCAGTGAGCATAGAAAAACCAAACACACACAGTTTCAATGCCAAAATGACAAAAATAGCTACTCTGATTTTCCTTTAGAGAAGCTGAGGACGGCAGCCAACGGTAGCCACACAAACCTCAAATGATGCCCAGAGATCTTTGGAGCCTAAGGGACTCTTACAGAAAAAATAAACAGGAACAGGGAAAATGAGACTTGTGGTATCAGCATGTAGGTAAAGCTGCCTCAAAAACATCATCTCAAGCTACAGTATTTGAAACTGATTGGTGAAACGCTTACTTTAAAATGGCTTAAAAGCCCTGGACCACTAAGAGTGCTTCAGGCCCATCTATTTCTCTGGCCACACAGGAAGGTTAAAGTAGACACTGATGATCTTGTTTCCAACATATTGCATGCTAAGATTGCAGAAAAGTACACTGTTGAAAACATTCACATCTGTTTTCTATTAACACTTATATATAAAAAAAAAAGGCAGAAAAAAGCAGTCCAAAGAACTCAAGTTCTCCCCTCAAAGCAGTAGGCAGAAGGAATGACTTAAATGAGACCATGAAATGATAAAATTGTGAATTAGCAACATCAAGAGCCATGCATTCATTGCACTTGCCTAGCTGCATCCACAGGAAGCTGCAGTACTTTGCCATCAAGTCCCATGGACTTAAACAAGATTGAAGTTGGAGAGTGAAGTTCTCCCAAGGAGAAAACTGGTAACAGAAAACACTCTAGCTTTTAAGTATGCACAGAACAAGACCTGTGTAGTGTTTGATACTACTGAAGACGGGTCAAAGCTTCAGTAGGTTTCTCAGTGAAGTCTGGAAACTATTTCAAAACTCCCAGCCCTATTCCGTGGCCTTGGCACAGTCGCCTCTGTTCTCTTCACCATAGTCCAATATGGGAAAGCATTGGGACAAGCTGCCCAAAGAGGTTGTGCTGTCTCCATCCTTGGAGGTGTTCAAGACCACAATGGATAAAACCCTGAGCGGCCTGGTCAGATCTTGAAGTTGATCACATTTTGAGCAGGAAGCTGAACTGGAAACCACAGGAAAAAAACAACACCCACACAAGCTAGATTAAAGAGTAATTCATTGACATCTATGAAAGTTAATTGTGTCAGCAAGACCTATCAGACTGTGCAAGAAACTGAAAAGACAAACCAGGACTACAGAAAGGAATATAGGCTCTTGCTACACCTACAGGGAGTCTTATGGCAGTTGCCTTTAGTTTCAGGTGTGTATTTAAACTTGTCTTCACCCTCTGCATTTGTTTTTCAGCTTCTAGGGAGTTTCGGTTAACTTACAGCTTCCTGATAACAGCTTTTGTGTTTTTATGTTGGAGTTTAAGAAATGCCCAAAACCAAGAAACAAGCGAGACCGTAGAAACATGCACATCATTGTCTTAACTTCCTACAGCTAAGTGGTAGAAGAGGGCAGATAAAATGATCTAAACAGAACAGTGTAATAAATACAGACACACACACTCCTACCTCACGTGTTCAAGGGAGGTCTGCAGAACGCTGAAGCTCTAGCAAGTGATTTATGATGCTTTCTTTCTAGATCAAAATTCGTTTTACAAGAATAAGATGCTGTGTTTATGATAACACTGATGTCTAATGGATACTTCTTTCCTACACAAAGAAATGACCCAAACACAAAACTACTAATAAAAAGACAATCCCCAAACAAACTAGAATTGAGGAATAGTTAAAAATAGAACCTCACCGGCAAGCTACTTCACTGAGTAACCACCATAACACCAACAATAAGGCGTTTTCCCAGCCACATCCAGAGATACAATTCTGGATATAACTACAGAACAACCTGAACAATATCACTATCACAGGAACTCTGCTAGTAAAAAGAAGGAATGTAATAAACACATCACACAAGATACTTGAATTTTATGGTCTCACCACAAAATCAGGTTGAACAACTTGCTTAAAAAACTAATAAAACCTCTTTCAAGAACATGAGTAGCAAGAAACCTGTCAGTCCGCAGAGCCATCTGATGTTCAGACTAGGGGTAGATGTTGAAGATGAGCCCACAATTAAAATGCCAAATGAATTCCTTGCATCAGAGTTATAATAATATAGAGACCTTTCGGAAGCTTCCCAGCACTGAAACTGTTTCTGAAGGAAGAGACCCTGGATCTTAATGCAGTAACAACTTCCCACCCCTAATCAAAAAAAAAAAAAAGAAAAAAGTAGAAAAGGCTGGGGTAGCACATAACAGTCACTCAAATGTGATTCTTGGATTTTTTATTATTTGTAATCATGGGATAGAGTCCGTTAATGAACTACAAATGAGTAACTGTAATCTTTGTACTTGCTAAGTAGGGAAAAAAAGTAGAATTTAATATATTGACAATTCATGAGGAGGTAGCAGTTCTGTAAGGCTCTCTGAGAAGTCCCACCTGACAGAACTACTACAGCTCACTGAAAGAGTCAATGAGCATGTAGATAAGAGCTGATATGGTTTATGAACAATAAACTTTGATTTTTGGAGTCCTTGGCAAGGTCCTTAGTCCATGTTTAGTTTCCTATCTTTTAACTGATACTTTATCTGTCATCTTTAACATTGTAAAAGTCTGAAAACAGTGCAAATGTGGAGGTTGACAAGTGTCATCAAAAATACCGAATTATTCAGAGTAAAGTAAAAACTGATTGGTAAATTACATAAAGATCTTGGAACTGCACACCTGCATGAAGAAACAAGAAATGACATTTAATAGACACTATCCCTGAGAAATTCTTTGCCAAAAGGAATTCCACTTGCCAGTAAGTTCACATCTGTAAATAGTTTCAAGGCGAGAATGGACAAGCACTTGGATGCCAGATTCACTGGGCATCTGAGCCACATCAGGCCTGGAGCTGAAAACAGCTGACGGATTTAAGAACACTTGGATGAAATATCATCTCTGTTTGCTGTGTTCTTGTTCTTTCCTGGACAGTTTAGGACTTTTAGCCTCACAGAGGAAGACATTGCAGAGCTTGAGAAAATACAGATGAAAATTAAGAAGATAAAAGGTGCAGAAGATCTCCGCTGCTGGAGAGCTTGGAAAAGCACTGACTCGAGTGATACGTATGAAGGATAAACAGGATGGGATTAGTCACTGCTTCTCGAAGCACAGTTACACCACAGAACCAAGTAAAGCAGCAGTCTCCACAGCTGCTTGAAACAAACACAAGGGCCTTTGGAACACAGACAAGCTTTTTTTTTTCAGTATGGTGGAAGCATACCTGCCCTACATACTTGGATGCCACTATATGTAAATTAGAAAAGCAGTTATATCCATTCACGGGAAAAAAAGATAAAAATCAAAGAGTAAAAATAACAGAAGTTTACTTCAGAGTCTGAGGAGCCCAAACGCTGGCTCACCGAGGACAAGGGCCTTTGGAACACAGACAAGCTTTTTTTTTTCAGTATGGTGGAAGCATACCTGCCCTACATACTTGGATGCCACTATATGTAAATTAGAAAAGCAGTTATATCCATTCACGGGAAAAAAAGATAAAAATCAAAGAGTAAAAATAACAGAAGTTTACTTCAGAGTCTGAGGAGCCCAAACGCTGGCTCACCGAGG